AAGAAAACAACCAAACCCATTGCGCTCCATTGAATTTTGTGCAAGCGATGCAGTTGTGGAAACGATGGTTCTCGCGATTACACCAAATCATGACCATAAATGTAGTTGCGCAACGGACACACGATTTCAACGCACAAAATATGCAGTGTTCGCGTAACCTCGCCGGCCGTCATTCGAACTACTTTTTTTTCTGCTGGCAAATCACTTATGCGACTGAATTTGGCGAAGATAATAAAAAACGACGAAGACGACGACCGCAGCAAAGAAAAAGAAGAAGAAGAAGAAGAAGTGGAAACAAATGCAAGAGCACGTGAAATGCGTGTGTTTGAAATGTGATCATGAAACAGTGTAGTACTAGGTGTAGTATTACATCTGATTATCGAACAAAAAAAATTATCGAAAGGAAATTACTGAACGGCGGACAGAAGAACAAAACGGAACAACGCACGCCAAATCAAACCGCAGCAGAACGCGAAAAAAAAGATGAACACAGAGTAGCAGCACGAATTTTACAACAGAAAAAAACAACACAGAAACCAAAATCGGTTTTCAAATCAACAACTTGGGTCTCAACGCACGTACGGTCGGTGTGTGTGTGCGCGCAAAAATCGTAAAATATTGCCATGGTACATGAACACACCAGACTAGATAAGTATCAAATGCGATAGACGCGCGATAGACGCGCGATGAACGATGTTTGCATATGTGAATGTAATTGGTAAATATGCTCGTTGTAATTACACAAAACGTCTCCGTCACCATCTCTCCTCATCGTCGAGAAGCAGCAGTAGCTGCTGAGGCGGTGACGACAACTTCGACGGCGACAACGGCTACAGCATATTACATATGTCTAAGCAAATACTTGATCGATACTTCAGATGTTGTTATGTCTTGGCTTTGCTTGACTCGTCTCGTTGGTTCTCTCTCTCTCTCTCTCTCTCGCTCTGACCCACTCTTTTTCCTCTCTAATCCAAGCATTCGATATAATCCAAACATAGGCACCATAGCATCAAGTTCAATATCAACATAAATATTGAATTGGTTGTGCTGAGTCGCCTCTGTCGTTCCTCTTTTGACTGCTGTTTGTCTCTCACTTTTATCACTTCGCTTGGCTGTTGACAACCGTGTATGTGTGTATGTGTGTGTGTCGCAACAGCTCTATCACCGCAACCATTACAAATTTCAATTACACACAGTACAAGAACCGAAGAGACCGCATCGTTTCATCGTATCGGTTTCCAACCGAAAAATTGATGAAATTTAAATCATTTTCATCATACGTTTTCCCGGGCGCTTTTTTCGACCAAAAGCATCGTGTCGAATCTTCTTAACTTAAATTCAGCGCCTTTCTTCGATATATCTCTCATGCCACGAAATGGGGATCAATGGTAATGTCTTTAAAATAATGAATGCTTTAGTTGTTTTTGAATATTTTTTTTAATGAGCCACAGGCAAGTTCAAATGGCAATGAGTGAAGGAAAAATCTTGCTAGGTTTTGGCGTGTTTTCAATTTGTCGCATAATTTCATGTGTATCATGTGAAGCGTTGGCAAGTCAAGAAAGCTAAGCTTATATTTCCCTTTAGTCTTTGTGTATCAATAACAACAACGACGATGAATAGAGCACGACACGCTGCTTCGCACATATCAATGATCGGGAAATTGCATAAACGCCAACGTAAACAGAATTTCCAATAAATAATAAATTGAAATTTGAATTTATCGAGTGAATGTCGAAGACGACAGAGAATTAGAAAAAAAACGAACGATGTATATGAGTAAACACGGCGACGACGAAGTTTATTTTCTTACACGTTCGCTTATTCGAAGGAGTGCAGTGCATACGGAATGTGTGGCATGATATGTGGCAGTCTTTGGAATATGATTTGAAGCTCAAAGTGATTGTGTATGTTAAATTTTGATCCCCATCCAAATGGAATACGAACATTCTTGTGAGGAGTGAGTGTGTTTGTGCGGTGCAATTTAATCGACAAATGACGGCGAATTCATTTAGTTATCAGTGCAGGTACTCCATTAAGCAACACACAATCGTATTATGAATGCAATTCCCCTCCGTGTGCTTGTGCATGTATTGCCACAAACAAAAATCATATGCAAGCGATAGAGCGCGTACACCGACACACGAATGCACAATCACACGCATAATTCGCGAAGAATCACTTCTTGAAATTTGAAGTCGATAGATAGAGAGACGGAGCGAGAATGAGAGAGCGAACGAGCTTACATTTTATGTGACCGGCATTATAAACTCACACTGATACACTGTGCAAAAATGCACCTAACCATATGCCATGTGTGCGATGCGAAATTGTCTCTCTTTTTCTCTCTCTCTCCCTTTGCCAAACAGAAAACTCGATTAATATTTATGCCACAGTATATGAATTCAACAAAGCCAAAGCGAAAGAGAGAGAGAGAGAGAGAGAGAGAGAGAGAGCAAAAGAATGGAAAACATTTCAAAAGGCATATTAAAAACAGTCGATTAATAAACGATGCTCCGTTGTGATTATTTGATTCTCTCTCACAATCACCGTGGTAATTCACATGCATATCACCACAACACGCATACACACACAAAACAGAATGGAATTTAAAATATTCCCGTTGTGAAGAGCGAGCCGTGAGCGCGCTACCAATACTCGTCATTGTATTAGTGTGAATGCGTTTTTTATCTATGTGTCGTCGTTGTTGTTTGTGCCTTGTCCATTTACATTGTATTAACTTCCAACAATGTTTGCATGTGTACATTTGCACACGGTACTGTGCGGTGTGCACGCTGCTATAGAACAGGCGAAGAGAGAACACGAAAACAATGAATAGACAAACAATACAACCATGGGATCTCTTTTGCTCTCTCTCTCTCTATCGGATTCGAGTAAACACAACAACGATCATGCTTTGCATTTGTTTGTGTATTTACTGACGATTGTAGCTTCAACTGTCTATACATACATATGATACAGGTAGCCAAAAGGTACAACACGGCATGCGGCGAACCATTCGGAACAGAATGAAGAAAAATATAATCAACAACAACACACTACACATTCTTCGCTCGCACTCACTCTCTCTCTTACTCACTCTCTCTCTCTCTCCCTCTCCCTCTCTCTCTCTCGCCGTGTCTCTCGCTCTCTATGTATTTTACATTATACGATAATTGTATTTGGTGTGTAACCAAAACGGAAAAAACGGCCAGAAATAAGAAAATGCCAGTGCTTTTGAACTTGTAATATTTTAGTTTTAACTAAGAATTCAATGTAAGTAGACGTATATTATGTGTGTTGCGCTCCAACGTTCAGTTCATGATAGTTGTTACTCTTTTTTGATTTGCGTATAAACCGTCGTTCGTTCGTTCGTTCATTTGGTCGAACACTGATCGAACACCGTGTGTCGTTCGACTCAATCAATTCAATGTGCTTCAATTCATAATACCATTTTCTGATGATTGACTGTTTAATATTCGTTAAATTGATTATTATTCAAGTTATCAGGTGCCGCGTTGCGTGGATAAAGATATATTGAAAGCAATACGAATTTTATTTTTTATACATGTACATCGCTAGAACGGCGGAAATTTGAATTTTGTACACATTTTTTCCCGAGACTTTTGAGATTTTTATTGTTGAAATTTTCGATTTTGATGAACTCTTTTTTTTTCAATGGAAAATCATCTTCCTATCCATTTACTTCCATAAATATAAAAATTGCAATGATACAAAATTATTTCGAAGCGAAAAATTATTTCGGAGAGAAAATCAAATTCTCAAAAATAGATGAAGAAAATGTTAACGTCGCAAAAAATTGTCGAAATCCATACAAAAAGATTGATTTGAGCCCATCGAAATATTAAATACCAAGCAAATCCATTTGATTTAAATATCGAAATTTAAACCTCGAAATCTGCTTATATGCTCGAAATTCTGACTACTTACGAGAAAAGTCGAGTATAAAAATTCAAATTTCCTCCCTCGACACACATATTCGATTTGATGGCGTTTAGTTCAGAAATACAAACAAATAAACATTTCCATAATTTCCATAACAACCAGTGTGAACACCGTGTAATTGTTGTAAATAAATGAAATTTTAAACCGCGTTCAAATCGGACAATTTATTTTATCGTAGCTGTTGTTCTTCTTGTTGTTGCTGCTCATCTTATTTCGCGTTATTCAGAAATTTCATTCCGCGAGCGCACGAATCAATTAGACGAAACCGCGATGTTGATAAGTAATTAATTAGAGGTAGCGCGAAAAGTATATATACGATCAAATTAGTTAAATACAAAAGAGCCGATATAATAATAATGAAAAAAAAAGAAGATTGAGCATAACGATCTGTGCGGCAGCAGCAGCAACAGCAGCAGCAAAAACACAACACAAAAATATTTTTCGGTAGACGGGGGCAATAACAAACGCCCGTAACCAAGAAGTAATGAAATATAAATAATAAAGTTTGCGTGTAACCAATTTTTTTTATCGTTCGGTTCGTTCGTTCTCTATCGTTGTTGAGATGTGGTGCGCACGCGGTGATTCATAAAATATTTATGAACACTCCAAACTGACTTTGTATTTGATTCGCAGTTCGTTTTCCATCAATTAAATATCATGTTATATTTTTTATATATTCTAGATTCGAAAATCTGTAAAGAACCAAAAAAAAAAGAAACAGAAACAAAACAAACACAAATAAAACAAACGAAAAAAAGTCAAACAAATTAAGCAAGAAAACAAAGTACGTTTTTAGTAGATAAACTACAATTAACCGAGTGTGAGTCCCCGAACAAGCGTGTGATTCTAAGCAAAGAATAAGCGTCGTTCAAAATAGCGAAACTCGACGTCAGAGAAGAAACAAGAAAAAAAGCATAGCAGCATCAAACGTGAAGAAAAACCGAATTTTCAAAAGTTCAATCAAGGCGCTTGTCGACGATAGAGAGAGAGAGAGAGAGAGAGAGAGAGAGAGAGAGAGAGAGAGAGA